TGTTACTTGTGAGTAGTCTGGGATAAAAGCTATGGAAATGGGATACAAGACTGTTGTGTAGGACGTTTTTCCATAGAAAATATACAGAAGTTGTATTTGGGGAATAGAGGATTTCTGTCGGTCATGCATAGCCAACACACTAAGTAGTTGCAGTTTTCTTCCATCAGTCCCTGATACTAACGAGTTGCTAAGTCTTCTTCATTTGTGCTGTCTCTCCCTCAAGACAATAGAGAAAAAGTTGTTACTTAGCTAAATTGTAGTAATATAATCTGCTGTCCTCTGTATGTTAATCTTCTTTACTATTTTTTCATACAAGGCTGTCTATTGTAATGAGTAGTAGAGTAAATTCACACTGACCTTCGTCAAAACAGGGCTTGAATCGCATGGAAAAGCCTTACTGATAGATGCTTCCTTGCCTCATCCTTTCTGCTGCAGCCCAAACTGCCCCTTGAAATGGTGTTTCTGGAGGATAGGAAACCTCTAGAGAACAGCACGCAGGGGAAATTGATAACAATCCCCCCACCATATTAGTAGAAATTTTACATTGGATCCTTCCCCATGTTTTCTGCATCAGTGCCACAGTTCACACTGCGGTCATTTGCTTTCAATGGCCTGGCTTTATGTTACCCAAAATAACCCTTTCAAATGTCTGAACCAATATGAGAAGATTTAAGTGAACTGGCATGTTAAAATTATAAGCATGTTCATTCAGATTGGTTTGAATGAAAAGCATATTAGGGATTGTGGTAAATTAATCATCTGTACAAATATTAATTGATTTGGAACTTAGCTTGAAGTACTAGTATTATGTTTTAATGCTCTAATGCCTTGTTACAAATTCTTAAGTGAATTTAAATGAGAAAGTTGTTTTTTAAATGCATCCTATAGATATTACATATTTCCTAGTCATAAGAATACTCACCTCCTCCAGTATTAGTACAGCATGCAACATACTTCTTTTTTAATACTTTATTTTTGATAAAACAATATAGAAATAAAACTAATAAAGACAAATTCCTGAAATACAATCTACCAAGCTATTGTAAAACATCAATTACATAAGCTCAAAATTAATTTCTCATTCTAGACAAGAAAGCATTGCATTTTCCAAATTTGTCACACATTTGGCCATGTAGTAAACAAGTTATTCTACATAGATGAAAACATTCTGCTAATTTCTCTAACCAGTCCTCTTTCTTTGGGATTATGTTCTTTTTCCAATTCTGAGCAAAAATTAGCCTTACAGATGTTATGGCATTAACAACAAATTCACAGATATCTTTAAAAAGGAATTTGACATGATATCCTTAGGAGATAATTGTATTCCAGAACTATACTGCTCTCCTCCCCTCCCCTCAGATGTGTATAAAATTGGCATTGGTAGCCCCACATACCCAACAATCCCCATTAGCCCCTTAGTATATTTTTGCTAATTTATAGGGAGAAAGGTCCTACTGATAAGAACTGAGCAGTGACTCACGAAAGCTCATACCCTGCCACATATTTTGTTGTCTATAACAGGGGTGTCAAATTCATTTGTTATGAGGGCCAGATCTGACAAAAATGAGACCTTGTTGGGCCGGGCCATGTGTGTCATAAAATGTAATGCCAGGTAGTGGAGATATCAGCTTTATAAAGGACACAGACAAACACAATTAAAGATTTTTTAAACTTTAAATAAAACATTCTTAAAACACTTGTATTTTAACAGTCTCTGATAACTGACACCTCTAGCTCTGAATTATTGCATCAAAATGTCTGTGCTGTTGTAATCTTGAGTATACTGTTCAGGTGTGTATCTAAGCTGCAAACCTACTTTTTGATTTATTGACATTGATTACACAACTCTCATGCTCAGTGTTCTGAGCCTAGGACCCAGGTTGGGAAAATGAAATGGCTGGGCATTGCAACCTTTTCTACATAAGTTGTTTCATGTGCTGATCAAGAACACGAGAAGGCACTCTGACACAGACTGAGACCATTGTGTTTGTCTGTAAATCTATAGTCTTCCCTGAGAAATAACTACAACGTTCTACAAAGGAAATGTGCTGGGTGATCTTGGTCTGGACACACACTCTCAGCCTAATCCACACTCTCAGCCTAATTCGGCTTGTCGTTATTCCTCCTCTAAAATAGTTTACATGCCTTTCTTACTGAGAAAGCCTGGTTCATGATGGCATGAATACAGTGAAAAGGGGGAGGGAACCCAACACCCAGGAAAGCCCTGGCATAAAGAGCCGAACAACAAAAGCACACACTGTAAAAAGGTACAAAGAAGTTCATACCTTGAACAAAACTTTGTTGCTCTTAAAGGTGCTTGGTATTTCTCTTGTGCAATTGTGGCAGCCCAGCAAAGCTTGTTCCCTCCCCCCCTTCAGGGAGGAGCCTCAGCTAGTGGAAGGAAAGAAAGGCTTCCCTTTGTCTCCAGCAGCAAGCTCTGGCTGTTCCCTCCCTCATCACCCCCCGGGAGGAGGAGTGGGAGGAGCCTTTACCAGACTCTCAATCTCACAGGAGAGCCTTGCCTATCTATCTCTCCTTTGTGATTGAGAGAGACTGGTAAAGCCAGCTGTGATGTGGTGGCAGCAGCAGAACTGGAAAAGGACGTAGGAAACAGCCAGGCCCTTGCGGGCCAGATTGGTGCCTTCTGAGGGCCTGATCTGGCCCACGGGCCACACGTTTACACCCCTGCTTTAGATCTTATACAGAAGCCAGTGGTGGTATTCCAGGAACTAATTTTGGTCTGACCTTTATCCAAGCATTTTCTAAGGCATTGATAACAAACATTTTCCTTAGCATGATAACTATTTTTATCTCTTATTCAACCAAATCCAGACTCTTAAAGACACAAACGATTGCTCAACTAGGGTCAATGTTGTGTCTTTATCTTCTTTTATCCATCTAGTTATCAAGCCTGTTCTAGCCGAATAGTTATGCTTTTGAATACTGGGAATTCCCAAGCTCCCTCTAACGATCTTATCCTGGGCATCTTGAAAATTAATCCTAGATCTCTTATAATTCCAGATAAAGTTAGGTAAACATTTTTGTAATCAAATCAAATACTTTTAATGGCATATCAATAAAATACATGGTATGATAAAATATGAGCAAGAAGGCATTACAGAGACAGCAAAACAAGACTGATCATACAGAAAACTTGTATCTATCTTTAACCGTTTCAGCCAAGAATCTAACGACCGGAGATGTGATGTCTGGGCTTGTGTCATTTAATAGACATTGGATTATTCTGTCATCTATCTATATAAAAAAAAATCCCCTCACCGTAAAATCAACGCAAGGCCAAACCATTGGACCTAGAAACACCAAATTCAGGGAGAGTGCTCCTACTGTGACATAGATGCTCACTAAGAAGGGATTTTTAGAAATTCGACCCCTAAGTGGGTCAAAAGGGGGTAACATGTGCTCCCCCCATTGATTCCTATGCTGCCAGGCTGCTGCCTCCTTGCAACCCCTCACTCACTGATTGGTCAGCTGCAGAGCTCAGTGTTCTGAGGTAAAAAAAAACAGTTACAGGGGAGTACAGAGTGCTAATGACAGTTGAGGAAATCAGGAGTGACCAACTGCCTGTGAGGTGAAGCAAAGCTGCTGGCCCAGCCTTCCTATGGCTTCAAACATGCTCTCCCCTCCTACACCTGACAGGCAGTTGTCTGTTAGGTGCAGCAGCAGTTGCAGGGTGCTTAAAGCCACGAGGGAGCCCGCCCCAGCAGTAACACCTTAGTGGTCCTGCCAGCCCCGCCTCCACAGTAGCTTCTAATACTCTTCCCCCTCCCCCTCCTACACTGGACAGGCAGCTGCCTGTCAGGTGTAGGAGAGGAGGTGGGATGCTTACAGCCACCGGGGAGGTTTGCTCAGTAAGATTGCCTTAGCCCTGCTGCTGGCCCAGCCTCCCTGATGCCTTTAAACATAATCCCCCCAACACCAGACAGGCAGGTGTCTATCAGGTGTAGGAACAGGACCAGGGTATTTTAATCCATCAGGGATGCCACCCCAGCATTTCATGGAAAGGGACTTAGTTATACTGACCAGTTAATATTTTTGAGGGGAAAATATTTAGTTGGGCCAATGTAAAAGCTGTACGATTATAAGGGTGATCTAGATTATAAAAGTAACTGGCTATTTTCCCTGGCTGAACATTTTTGTATGTTTTTAAACTCAGGTTCCTGTATCAGTACAGGAACATTCCAAAACAGAAATTTCAGTTTAGGTAGTATTGACATTTTAATTAAATTTATCTTACGTAGCAACATTAGTTTTAACTGTGATCAGGTGGATAATAGGTTTTTAATTTCCTTCGTGACTTATTCAAAGTTCAAGCGATACAGATCTTTAGTGCTTTTTGGGATATAAATACGAAGATATTTAACAACACTGGTTTAACTTTTTTTAACAGGCCACAAACACAATAATCACTTTCTTTAAAATTAAACAGAAGAGTCTCTGTTTTAGCAATGCTAATTTTGTAACCAGAAATATTTCCAAATTCCTCTATCATATCCTCTGTTTTCATGCTCGAATTCTTAATATTAGTTACAAACATTACCAATATCATCAGCATATAAATTTAGTTTGTAACAGTACTCATTTACAGTTATTCACTTTATATTAGGTGTTCGACGGATTAAAGCTGCAAAGGGTTCTAGATAAATAGCAAATAATAACGCTAATAGAGGGCACCCTTGTGTTACTCCTTTCATTATATCGAACTGTTGAGAGAGCTCCCTATGTATACACAATCTGGTGGTAGAACCAGAGTATGTTATACTTGCCCAGTTTTCACCAAAGTGATTAAGGCATTTAATTAAATAGCTTGGTTCTACCCTATCAAAGGCCTTTTTGGCATCTAAGAACAAAAAACCTGCAGAGATAATTGTATTTTTTGACACATTTTGTTAGCTCTAAGACTTTCCATATGCATGCAACATAATTCTGTGATGTTGGGACAGAAGTGTCTTTGTAATTGGACGATCTTTTCTTTATCAAAGGTATTGCTATTAAGGAGTCAGCCAAAGTTGTCGATCAAGCACAAAGAAGGGTTATGAAAGGTGTGGATGATTTGGATTTCTTTATTGGGGATGAAGCTATAGAAAAACCAACATATGCAACAAAGGTATGTAAAACTGAAACAAATACTTCTAAATTCTGTGGCTTACTGATAGATACTTTGAAGGTGCATTTTGTCCCAGACAGTAACAGCATACATCTTTTTTTGGGTTGCTGTCTGTAAGACAATATGGTAGTGCATTCAGAACATCATTTTAGCCTTGCAGCAAGCCTCTGAGAGAGAGTTTAGGCTGATGAGTGGGTGTCTTGCCCAGTAAGCTTGAGATCTGAGTTGCATTTGCACCTGTTTTCACAAGTTTCTCATGGTCCCTTGCAATGAATAGTATAACTGAAACTGGCTTTGGTCACTTTTTCTAACAATCGAAATACAACAAGTGAGCAGTGGAGTAAAAATTATCTTATAAACATTCCATAACCAAAAAAAAATAGGTAAAGTAAAGGTAAAGGTTCCCTTGCTCGAAAGCCAGTCGAATCCAACTCTAGGGTTGCGGTGTTCATCTCCATTTCAAAGCCGAAGAGCCAGAGCTGTCCGAAGGCATTTCCGTGGTCATGTGACCGACATGACTAAATACCAAGGCACACGGAACGCTGTTACCTTCCCACTGAAGTGGTACCTATTTATCTACTTGCAATTTCTTGCTTTCGAACTGCTAGGTTAGCAGGAGCTGAAACTAGAGACGGGAGCTCACTCCGTCATGCGGCAACTCGTGTCTCTAACTGCTGAACTACCGACCTTCCGTAGCCTGCAGTTCAGCATCTTAACCACTTGAGCCACCGCATCTCCTAACCAATAAAATAGCATAGTGTTAATGTGATTCTAACATGAGTTATGCCTCGGTCACCTTGTTTTGCCATAAGCTTCTATTGCAAGTCATCCCTTTTTGTAAGAATTCTTCTTTTCTGGAAATTCATTGTCTGTTTTGCTGTGTTAAATGTGCTCTGGGGTTGCATTGTTTGATGATAACATTATCTGGATATCCCCATCTACTAGAAATTAATTGATCTTCAATATAATTTCATAGAAGTGACGGCGTTTGCTTTGTACTGTACCAGAGATGTCTCAGAGGAATCTGGCTCATCAGTGTTAGAAAAAGGATGTTAGATCCATGGTCTGATCCAGCAAGGCTATCCTGGTGATCCTCTACATAAAGTAACTGGAGTAGAGAACATTGTTTTATCTAGGGTGTTTTGTGCCAAAAACAAATTGTGTGCTAAACTGCTGCAAAGATTAAATAGGGGAAAGGAGACATTCCGCTCTGTAACATTTGAAGTAAATGTGCTTATTCTACACACAGTTATTTCCTAAGAATTTAATGTTAAATGGCAATATTGTCTTGCCATTTAGTAGATAATATATAATGCATAGCTGTATCTATAACATGACTTACAGTTTATAATGCCAATTTTTTTTTAAAAAAATGGACATTTTGTGCAGTGGCCCATCCGTCATGGAATAGTTGAAGACTGGGACTTGATGGAGAGATTTATGGAACAAGTTATCTTCAAATACTTAAGGGCAGAACCTGAAGACCATTATTTTCTATTGGTGAGTTCAAATCATCTAGTTTTGAAGATTATCCTTTCACTGTAGCAGAATAACTTTTTACTATGCTCAAGAGAAAGTAATCATAAGTGATTACTGGGGCATCCAGGGTAGTCAGTTACTAACTAGCTTATATAGCTTTCCTTTAATTGTTAAAGCCAAGGACCTTCTGAATTGTGCATGCCTCTCAGTCTTCTGTTTCCCTCTCAGTTTGCAAAAGCTCTCCATCAAGTGGAAATTGGTGTCCTGGCAACTGCATTTTAGCTAAGTATTTCTTCAGTGATGCAGCAGGCGTGTATCTAAAGCCTCATTTTAAATAGTCTTAATTATATTAACTGTTGTTGTTGCTTAGATACAGTTCTTGGTCATTGAGGCTTACATGTTTCTTCCACTTTTATACTGGAATTGTTGAAGCATAGTCTGTTCAAGGTATTTTTGGTTTTGAAAGTAGCCGGCCTAGCTTCTCTGTGGCTCCCTACTTCAGAACTGAACTGTTATGCTGTTTTAGTTCTAGTTAATATTAGTAAGCAGACATGGAAAAATGTGAACACAGAGAAATATAGTAATGGCCTCAGATACCCTAGCCTTCTAAGAGCAGGGAACTTTTGAGCTCGTACCTGCTGTCTGGAATGGTATAGTCATTGCATAGGTTTGTCACTTTACTTCATAAACCTGAGTCATTGCCATTTCTAGCTAATGGTTGTCTGTGGGCTGATGTGTACAATTAACCTGTCATGCTTTGGTCTTGGATGAATGGATAAAAGCTGTAGCTGGCCACTTGCTGAACCCGTTTGATTTCTTCACCAGCTTCCAGTCAACCTGTGTTAGGACTTTTAAATATAGCTTTGTGGTGGAGAGCTAAATGTGTCTTCTCTAGTGTTGAAACAGTAATTTTTTGGGAGGTATCTTTTGCATTTTTCTGTGTGTGTACCAAAGCATGGATGTCATGGTGACCTCTGGTGACTCCTACTGGGGCATGGAGGATGTTCAGAGAAGTGGCTTGACAGCCTGCCTCTGCCTCCCAGCCCTGGTATTCTTTGGAGGTCTCCCATCCAAGTACTTACCAGGGTCGGCCCTGCTTAGCTTCCGAGATCTGACAAGACAGGGCTATCCAGGTCAGAGCAAACATTAATTTGTTTTGTACCCTTGAGCTACATCTTTCTTTGTCAGCCTGCCATAGGAAATAGACCTTTGCTACTTTGAGAAAGGGCAGCTAGTTTATGTAAACCAACGTAACAGGAAAATAGTATGACAGAAAATTTGTGGCCATAATAGAAAGTGACATTTAAAGTTTCACCACTGCGTCTCTGAATTTGAAAGCCCTATTAAGGTTCTATTTAGACTTCTGATATCAACTTTTCAAGATGGGAATGGCTATCAGTTGGAGATCTGAAACATGTTTTGAGCACAACAGTTAAAAACGAATTTATATATTCACTGTTCAACTTAATTTGGTGACAGCTGTTCACAGTGCTTGTCTAAGAAATACGGAGAACTTGGATATATAAGGAATTAAAATTGTTGGTTCAGAACATTGTGTTTAGGAAACTTTATGTAGATTCCCTTTGTGGTACTTGAGTACGCTGAGGAAAACAAGGCTTCTCAGTCAACCTGAAATCATAAAGTAGCCACTTGGGTCACTATTTCATACGGTAGTATTAACATCACCTTAAATGTGTGTTTTAGAAGCCAGAAGGGAGCTTTTGGTGGTCTGAGCTTAAGTATTCACCAATCTAGAAATATTTTCAAAATATGAAAATGCATGTAAATATGCTTAATTCTATATTATTTTAGGCGCTTGATTATCTTGTGCTTTGCTAATCTAAATGATAGAAATTTAGGATTTTCTTCATGACAAGACTCTGGCTGTATTTAGAAATTGTAACAAGCTGCAGTTAAACTCTGCCTCAAACACAGTGTTGCTGTGTGTGCTCTTCTTTCTCCCTCTGAGTCAGAGGACATCTTCGGGTGGTTCCTACCATCCTATCAGAGAGGCATGACTAAATTTCTTCCTCTTTCTCTGACGTGGGAGCTGCCCTTTCTTCAGTTCTGTTCCTGCCTCAAAGGGAGAAGCAGTTCTATAGTCGGCTCTGCCTACTACCTAGCTTTAATTCGAAAAATTTCTCTTCCTAATTGTACCTCCTTTCATTCTTGCTTTCAACTTCCAACTTTGCCTTTTGTATCCCCTTAACCCCATCTATCTCTCCTTCAACTTCCTCCCCCCCTCACTTGGGGGACCTGTTTCTTCAGCTGAGTTGAGAGCAGCTCCAACACAGCAGCCATTTTATGATGCCATCCATCACAATGACTTCAAAGGACTTATCAAATAGCTTCCTTTCAGATGGAGCAGCAGACACCTTGCTCACAGCCAGCACTGACAAGCTCATCCAAGATGGAACCGGCATGTCTCTTCAGCTTGCCTGTACTTTTGCAGAAGACGTGATGCAAATAGACGGTGCCTTTTACAGGGAAGCCATACAAGGGAGCATTACTGCCCTCCAGCTTTGAGTAGTGGCCATCTTGAAAATGTTGTTTTGGCGGGAAAACATTCCAGCCATGACCATAGCTCTCTGCATGAGTCCTTAACTGCCAATGCCAATCTCCAGGCAGGAAAATCAGTTGGGGAACTTCCTCAATCAGGTCAGATTCCCCCTAGTTCATTTGAACACCTCCACTTGAGGTGCTAGCCTGACAGAACAGTCCTCCTTGAGTGTCTCTCCAGTTACTTTGGATCTATTGAGTCAAACATTGAGAGAGGAGTTTGTTAACTTATGCCATTATGAAGCCCTCTCCAATGCCAGAACAGGCTCTGAATCCTCCTCTCCTCCCTCTACCCCCAGACCTGGACCCAGTCACCATCATGGGAACAAATGGCTCACCAATGTGGCCCAAAAACAGTCCTTTAATAGAAAGAGCGGCAGAGAGAGAGGGCACCCGGGAAGGGGACCAATCCTCAGATTCTGGCAAGGAGAATACGGAGAAGGGGGAATTCCTTTCAGATGAGGAAGTAGGAGACATTAAGGTGCCAGAACAAACAGCATGCTTCTTTAAGTCAGAGGACTATCAGTACATACTTAGTTAGGCTCTCTCAGCTCTAGAACTGCAAAAGATGCCTCCTGAGGAGGACCCCTCCTCTATTAAATTGGACACTAAGACAGATCCAAAGGCACTAAAGAATTATTTCCTAGATGTGACAATACAGAAAATGTCTTCCCTTTCCCTGATTTCTTTGAATACCAGCTTAAGGCAGAATGGGCAAAATTGCCAATTGCCAATTGCCAAATTTAGTTAAAAAGGCGTATGCCCTACCATCCTATGCTAATGAAATACTTCAGGTTCCCCTAGTAGATGCCCCTGTGGCTGTCTTACAGGAAATACTTCAGGTTCCCCTAGTAGATGCCATGTGGCTGCCTCTTACCAGAAGATGGTCAGGGTACAGTCAGGGACACCCTGGACAAAAGAGCAGGGATGGCCTTTAAAATGGTACATGAGGCCACAGCCTATTAAAGCCTCGGCCACAGCCTCTCACCTCCATGGCTGCTGTTGTTTAGATGAGAAAAATAATTCAATTGATTGCAACAGACAATCGTTGACTACTAGAAGGAATGAATAGAGTCCTTAATTTTTTCTTCTAGGGCCATGGCCTCAGCAGCAGAGGCCAAGAAAATTCTCTGGTTGAGAGCATGGCAGGCAGACATTCACTCAAATCATATTGTTTCGTCGTACCCCATTCAGGGTGATAGACTCTTCTGTGATGCTTTAGACAAGATTCTAATAGAAACCTGAGATAAGAAGAAAGCCATGCCAATAACCCTTAAGCACCCGGATAAAAAATGTACTAACATCCAATTCTTTCATTCCCAGCACACCCTGCCAAGATTCAAACATGAGTACAAAAGATCCATCTGGAACTCATCCAGACCCTCCTATAGGCAAAGATCTAATAACAGATTTGACAGGACACCAACAAATAGAGGCGACAGGTTGGATTGCGATAACAAATCCACCAAGGCATGACTCCCAAGGTATTCTGATGGGGGGAAGATTGATCCTTTTTTGAGACTTCTGGACAAACATACATGGACACTTGGGTCATAGAAGTTGTTTCACAAGGCTAGCCTATTGAATTTACAAGAATTCCACTGGAAAGGTATGTCACATCACTGATACACAAAAACAGAGTCAAGAGGTATATCACTACCACAGCCATCCGAGCTGTCGAACCAGTACTCAAGACTGAACAGGGACGGGGCGTCTACGTCTTTTTCACCATCCCGAAGAAAACAGGGACTGGAGAGTGATCGTAAACCTCAAGTTCCTAAACAAACTACATCATTTTTGGATGGAGATCCTCAGATCAATTTCAGAGGCTCTTCAGCCAATAGAGGTCCTGACCTCAGTAGATCTGATGGAGGCCTATCTCCATATTCCCATTCTACCAGCATACAGGAGGTTCCTGAGATTTTGTGTCAGAACACGGCACCTTCAATTCAGAGCCTTTCCTTGGGCCTATCCTCTGAGAATTTTCTCAAAGATCCTCATAAACCCAGTCATGCATATAAAAAAAGGGCACCCCGTCCATCCATATCCTGATGACCTACTAATCAGGTTGAACTCCAAGGAAGAATCTCTCGGGGACACTAAGACAACCATACAATGTCTTCAACAGTTTGGGTTTCTCGTCAGTGTCCAGAGAAGATCTTTCATTCCATCTCAGAGGCTAGAACACCTGGGGGTGGTCATAAACACCATGATTGCACACTTCTTCCTGCCAGAAGAAAACACAAGAAACACCATCCAGTGTCACAGTCAGTAATCAAAGCCAAATCGTCATCACTCATGTCATTGACCAAATTCATGGGGGTCTTGATCTCCAACACCAAGGCTGCACAGTGGGATGCCTTCACTCCAGACCTCTACAAACCCTCCTCAAACATTTTCAGTTATGAATTATGGAAAAGAAGGACTTGCCCATTCAAAACCCCACTCCAGGCAAGGTCAGTCTCCACTGGTGGACGAGAATGCACAATCTTCTCCAAGGGAAGAGTTTCTACGTCCTGACAGTGAAACAAATCTTCAGGCATGCCAGCCAGTCAGAATGGGGAGCAAAGCTGGAAAGCATGCCAGGGAAAGTGGTCTAAATCCGATTCTCGTCTTCCCATCAGTCTTCTGGAATTACATGTGGCTCGACTGACTTTACTGCACTTCATATCTCTAATATGATAATAGTAGGGCTCCATGTCTTGATCCACATGGATAACACCACAACCAAGAATTATATCAACAAACGGGGGATGCAGATCATCCAGATTGCATAAGGAATCCATCAAACTGCTATTAAGAGCAGAATCCAACCCAGCATCCATCCAAGTAGAATACACCAAGGGCACAACCACCATCCAGACGGACTGGCTAAATAGGGAGACCATCTGAAAAGGGGAATGGCCACTTAAAAAAGATCTTTTTCACCTGATCTCAACACACTTTGGACTCCCATCTGTGGACCTCTTCATGTCAACAGTAGACAGTTATCATATAAACTTCCCAGATTCTTTTACCAGGTTCCATCACCCACAAGTGGAAGCAATGGATGCCCTAACGTCCTCATAGCCAAAGGGTCTCCACCTTCCCCCCATCCCAATCATACCCAAGATGATAAGGAAAATAAAAGAGCAGAAGGTTGTTATAGTAGTGGCCCCCTTCTGGCCATGATGCCATGGTTTTTGGCCCTACCAGAGATGATGGCCTCCCCGCCACTGATGCTTCCAATGTCATTAGATATGCTGCAGCAGGGACCAAACTGGCACCCCCCTCTGTAGTGGCTTCACTTGAGCTCTTGGAAGTTGAACAGCAGGCTTTCATATGATTAGGCTAGTTTCCCAGCATGATTGATACCATTATAGCCTCCAGAAAACAATCCACAAACAGGATATACAACACGTCCTGGAAGGCCTGTACTAGGTGGCACAGGAGGAAAGGAGTACAACCACTGGAACATCCCCTGGAAGCAGTGTTAGCGTTCCTGCAAGACAGTCTCTCTTCCGAACTCAAGGCATCAACCCTCAGAAGATATTCCGCAGGGCTTCCTTCAGTCCTACCTCAGTTTGAAGGCTACAATATCTCCAGTCATCCACATACGAAAATTTTTCTTAGAGGGGCCACAGGTTTTCCAAGTGGAGATCACACGGTACTCTCTGCATTAATCAAGCTCTTCTTTCGAACCTATCAGAGGAGTCTCATCACAGTGTCTGAGGATGAAAACCCTGCTCCTTATAGCTATCACTTCTGCAAGACACATATTGGAATTAAAAGCTCTGTCCACCAAAGCCAATCTTTGCATTTTTCATAAGGACAAAGTCATCCTGAGAACTGACCCTACCTTTCAACCGAAGGTCTTTTCTACATTTCATAGATCCCAAGAGATCTGGCATACACTGAACTATCAAGACATTCTTGATCAGAAAAGAGAACATACAGAGAACGGATTCTCTCTTCATCAATATTTCCCCTCCCAACTTGGGTCGGAAAATGTCCAAAATGCCATCTGAAGACCTGTTTCGGAAGCATATAAGGCCCTCAGTATGCAGGTACCATCAGGAATCACGGCACATTCTGTGAGAAGCACTTCAACTAATGCAACATTCAGCAAGCATGCCTTGGTTGAGGAGGTATGCAAAGCAACAACATGGTCCTCAATCTCCACATTTGTGAGTCATTACAAACTGAATAGCTATGATTCCACAGATGCTGCATTTGGCAGAAGAGTACTACAGGATATAACGTCAGATGATGACAATGACCCATCCACTTTCAATGAGGGGGTCTTCTCTGAGGAAAGGGGGACATCTTGTCCTCCCCACTCATTTTACTCTTCCCTGTTTCCACCTTTGCTAGTGCTGCTGCATTTATTTAATTCTTTCTCTGGTTACCTGTTGCCTTGCTGTTTAAATGTTATTATTACTATAGGGTAGGAGTTAGACTTACTGCTTTTCGGAGCTGCCAGATCTGAAGAAATCAGATCCCACATCACAGGAAGAGGAAGAAATTTAGTCTTGCCTCCCTGTTAGGACAATGGGAACCACCCCAAAATGTCCTCCTTTCCTCAGAGGAGAAGGCCCCCTCATGGGAAGTGCCGAGGGGCGTTCTTCCATCTTCTCTTGCACATAGAGGCTGGGTAATCCTGATTTGATCAAGATTCAGTTTGCGGAGGTACCTGCCTTTTGATGTCAGTAAATCAGAGCAGGATCAGATTGGTGAAGATTTACATAACACTTCATGCTTGAAGATAAATGGGAAAAGTAAGGGGCACATTTCA